TACAACAAGTGCCAGGACCTAATCTGATGGCCAAACCTGCTTTTTCTCAAATGCATCCCTCTGCCAAGATCGAAGGCAATGAGGTTCTCTGCTGTCCAAAGCTGGTTGCTTAGTTTTCCAATGCATTACCCTCCCTAGACTCTGGAAGGGTCAAAATGCCTTTAGATTCCTTTTTGTATTCTCTTTTTTCACAAGAGCTCTTTCTTAGTCTCTGACCTTTCATTTTTATAACTTCTTGTTCTTATCACAGGGATATGATGTCCACGCTTCTCTTCCTGAGCATATTATTGTTGTTCGTCTGTTCATTGTTTGCAGTGTTCTGCCCCCAGTGTGGACTCTGTCACCTTTGGGTTCCTTTTTCTGTTTTATTCTAGAGCCTTTGTTTGATCATCCAGAGACTTTGGCTAATGTTCATATTGAAGACCCGGAAAGCTGTTTAGAAGCTCATGAATGGGGCTTGTTGTCTGGTGAGCTTCACTACATGTGGAAAAGTGGTAAACTGAGTTTGCTCTCAGACTGGTCAGCTTCTCTAGAAGGAACTTCAATCTCTTGCTTGGGAGCTTTTACCTGGCAGCCAGTGTGAATATCAATATTTAATATGAAATTTTCATTTAGTACCCCTATAAAATAAAGTCTTTTGCCCCTATCCTGAGTGGAGCCTATTGTCCTCTCTGGTTTATCTTCACCCAGAGAAAAACATCCAGTGTTTTATTGTGATAGAAGAGGAACAATTGGATTTACTGGTTGGGGGAAGGAGTGGTGGTCATGACAGTGATGGTGATGCTGGTGGTGGTGGTAGCAGGGATCATAGAGGTGGCGATATGGCGATGATGGTGGTAATGCTAGTAGTGGTAATGGTGGTGGTGATATGATGATGGTAGTGATGATGGTGGTTGTGTTAGTGGCAGTGCTGATATGGTAATGGTGGTAGTGATGATGGTGGTGATGGTGGTGGTGGTGATGATGGTGATGGTGGTGATAATCATGATGGTGGTGGTGGTGGTGTTGATTGATGATGATAGTGATGGTAGTGATGGTAGTGGAGATCATGGTGATGGTGGTGGTGAAGGTGTAGTGGTGGTGGTGGTGATGACGGTGATGGTAGTAGTGGTGGTGGCGATGGTATTGGTGATGATGGTGATGGTGTTGGTGTTGGTGGTGGTAGTGATGGTGGTGATGGTATTAATGGTGGTGCTGATGGTGATGGTGGTGCTGGTGGTGGTGCTTTTGTAACCACTTCTACTGTTTTTAGCCCTACTCCTCATCCCACCTTGGGGATACCTGGTATCTACAACTCCCAAAATGTTCTAGGGTCATCTGGCTTCTTTCTTACAAGCTTAGACTAAAGCTTTCTTCAGTTGACAAAAGGGTTACTAGTCACCCATCTGATTTCCTTTTTCTAAAAATTAGTAGACATACTAAAGCTCCTTTTCACTTTGTCTTTGTAAATTTAAATATTTTTTATTCCATTTTCATTTTAGTGGGGTTTAGGGAAGAAATAAATAAAAATGAATGGGTGTGATTTCCATTTTGAAATGGAAGTTCCCCACTGCCCTTTTAAAGACCTAGATTTTGTTTCTTTTCATTTTATTTTCTGCTTTTGCCCTATTTAGTTTATTTTCAATATAAATAATAAATTCTATCTCCAAGCACACTGAGCACTCCATAAGGTGGTGGGAATGATCATCTTGTCTATGTCCCATTCGAACTCAGACACCAGGATCAGGTTTCTCAGGGAGTGAAAGGGGCCAGGGCCACTTCAGTTTTTTGAGGTTTTTTGAAGTATATATTTTTTTAATCAAGACATCCTGAAACAAAATTTAGGAAAATTAAGGTATATTTAAACATTTGCATTTACCAAATTCATGCTTTCAACACTAAAAAAAATTATAGAGCAATATAATTATGTGCTATTCACAAGATAATTATAGGATTTATTAAAAATATTAATTCATAACACACAGGCAGAGTGGTATAGTAATGAGACTGAAGCTTAACCCAGTGTGATGAATACTTCTTTGAATTCTATCTCAATTCACTTAGAGATAATATCAGCCTTCTAAATTTTAGGATTTCCATGGGTGTGGTGGCCTTGGCATTTGCTCCTACCCACTCATGCATGCACCCCTGCCTCAATGGAGCTCATGCACCCCTGCAGTGAGATGGGAGCCGAAACAGCAGCTGTGCAGCGTCTGCAAAGGCAGGGAGAGCAGAGCGGCAGGAAGGGGAACAATGATTGTCCCTGCGCAGGGGCCAGGTGGGCCAGCTGCTCAGCAGCACGCCACGCTGTAGCGGGCGGGCCCGGGTCTTGCGTAGGACTGTGTCTCTGGAACTGAATGTCACGTGGGCCCTGACAGGTAGGCAAAAAAGGAGAGAGCTGACCAACATGAGAACACTCAACCTCAGAAGGACTTGGAACCCAGGGAAATCCTCTCTTTTTCAACCTGCCTTAACAGTTAAAGAAATACAAAACAGGAAAAAATAAATCACCCACCCACCATCTTACTCCTTACCAGCTAAAAACAAATAATCCATTTTTATTTTTCCATGTTTTCTTCCTGTCTATCTGTATCGTCTTAGGCAGATAGTCTCTCTCTCTCTCTCTCTCTCTCTCTCTCTCTCTCTCTCTCTCCCACACACACACGTGTGTATCTTGAAATGAGCAGAACATTGGATCTGAAGTCGGACAGATTTGGATTCAAATCCTGTCTCCCCTCCCTCTCTTAACAAATGCATGTCCTTGGGTGTGAGACAACTCTGAGCTCCAGTTTTCATCTCTACAAAGAGGATAATAATAGTATCAACTTTGTAGGATTATTTCAGAATAAAAAAAAGTTAAATAATATATGGGAAATGTCAATCACAATGCCTGCTGTGTAGTAGGTGCTCGATGAACAGTAGCCGAAATTATTGTCATTGATTCTGTAATTCAACAAACGTTTAGTAAGCCTTTATTAAGTGTCAGACAGCAGGGGATACGCTGGGGGGCCTGTCCTCCAAAAATGCGTCCTGTGGGGCTGGAGGTGGGCATGTAACAGACAAGCGTGCTGGGTATGAGGGACTTGCACCACGTGTGTGCTAGCATGGCGAGGCCTGCACTGAGCTGGCCCAGGAGGGTAGAAGGAACCAGCAGGCAGGTCAGGATTTGGTTAACGAGGCCATGGAGCGCTTGGAAGAACTTGCAGAGAGACAATTAGATATTCTGCCTTTTTAAACTGAACATCAAATTACAAGCACTTTTGACGCTGCTACATAATCTTCCTGTCATTTTTAATGACTGCATAATATTACACTGCTTCAAGGTACTACATTTTCCTTCCCCTTTCCCCTGTCATTTGATTTGTAGGTTACCAATTTGGAGCTATTATAGATATAGCTACAAAGAACATGCATGTGACAGTCTTTCCTTTCAAGAATTATTTCTGCAGAATAAATTCTAGGTCAAAGGGTATGAACGTTTCAGTAGCTCTTGCAACTCACTGCCTACTTGTTGTCAAAGGGTTCGTACACTGGATGTTACCAGAATTTTCATGTATTTTGAATACATGAATACAATAAAATTGGCGCTTCAACGTTGTTTTAATTTCCATTTCTTTGACGAGTTGTTTGGCAGGGGAAATTGACTTCAACTGACTGTCTTGGATGGCTACACGGGCAGGCAGAGCAGGAAGCTGTGACTGCAGCAGGTCCAGGGTAGGGAGGGGTTTGTCTCGCTGAGACGCAGGAAGGGGAGGAGGCCTGCGTGCTGACACTAATTGCGTTTCTTAATTGCGTTGTTTATATTTTACCTCTCTCCTGACTGACTACATAAATAATTAACATCATAATAATCACCACTGAATGTATGTGACAGGGGAAAAGTTGGATCTCCAGCCCTGACTGCCTTGTCGGAGGGCGGTGACTGTGGGACAGGGCCTGTGTGTTCTGCTCCACGCTCTGAAGGGCTTGGAAAAGCAACTGAAGCTGCAATAGCACTTGTGGATCTTCCATTGCCGACTGGCAGGTTGCTGGGTTGCTGTCGCTCTTTGCCTGAGCTTGCCTATCTCGTCCCCGGGGCAGGGGCAGGGCGCAGGCCCCAGGATGGAGGAGAGGATCCCACTTTGAGGATGTCCTGAGCTGACAGGAGGTGAGGAAGGGGTGTCCTGCTGCTCCTGCTCCTCCTGCTCCCCTGACAGTGTTCTGCAGAGAATAAGATGGGGGTGGAAGGAAGAGACCAACCACCTGTGAAGCTGCATTTCCCAGATCAGGGAGGAGCCCTGGAGGATGGCATGGGGGAAGGGGGGGAACATCCAGGGAAAAAGAGTCCTGAGAAGATGAGTCTGGGCAAGGGGTGTGGGGAACATGGTGAGCGGGGTGGAGGGAGCACAGTGAGCGGGGTGGGTGGAGCACGGTGAGCGGGGTGGAGGGAGCACAGTGAGCGGGGTGGGGGGGTTTTGAGCTACGGGGCGGTTTGTTTCTGGTGTGAGGAGGGCACGGTGAGCGGGGTGGGGGGAGCACGGTGAGCGGGGTGGGGGGAGCACGGTGAGCAGGCTGTGCAGCTGAAGGGGAGTGCTGCACAAGGCCACGTCCAGCCAGTGCAGGGACAACATGCAACCTTTGCAGAAGGGAGCAGCTGGATAAACGAGCCCGAGGCAACATGCAGTGTGCTAGTTTGCTGCAGCTTCCCAGGGGGCCCAGTAAGGGACACTGAGACACCAAGAAGGGCTAGTGGTGAGTAGACTTTAGAGCCAGAGACCAACGGCTGGGACCATAGATTTCAGCAATGGCTAGTCACACAGTGCCCTAAAGGCTGGTTGAGGCCAGTCACCCTCAGCAGCCGTAAGTCGAGGCACTGGACTAGAACAGGTGGCCTACAGCAGGATGGACACCAGCAAGAATGTAGAGGGCCCACTCTCTCATAAGTTCCCACCCACCCTGACACCAACAGCTACTTCATGCCACCCACACTTGGGAGAAGATGCCCAACTACTTTGGATCACAGAGGGAAAAGAATTTGGAATTCCTGGGGAGTTCTGGGAAGGGAGGCGGCAGTAACAGATATTAGAAGGGAAGAGACAACCTAAAACCCAGCAAGACAGCAGAAGGCTGTATGCTTTGAGGTGACCCTCCTTGCTTTGACACTCTAAATGTCCAGCAAGAGCTACTCGGTAACTAACTTCTTGATGTCAGTTAATACTTTGAGGAAACTAATGCTGAGGCTCAGTTTTCAGTCCACATGGATGTGAAACAGGCATCAGACCGGTGTGGAGGAGGTGGGGACACTGGGGACCATGAGGACATGGCCCTGGAGAAATCACAAACACAGGTGTGGAGGGGCTATGGGTTTTCAAGCCTGTGATAGTAGGTCCCCTCAGCACAGAAATGCCCATATCTCTGGTGACAGTCTCTTGAAGCAGTAAATGGTATGGCCTCTGGCAACATAGCCTGGATCCAAATCCCATTTCTCCCACTCAGGGCCTGAGTGGCATTGGGCAGGTCACTTGACTTCTCTTAATCCCCTTCCTATATCTCTAAGATGGGATAATAAGAGCACTAACTTCCTAGGATTGTTCTGAGAATTTCATGAGGAAATACCTGGAAAACACTTACTGTTGAGACCCACACATGGAAAATAGCATTAAATATTAGCTATGACAGTGACAGGGAGGATAAAGACAACAATAATGGAGATGGTGCTCATGACTGTAATACACACTGTTAGTTTCCTGCCTATTGTCCCTTCTACTCTTCTCTTGCCAACAGAATCGTGCCCAGCCTCAGTGAGAAATCACTATGAGCCTGAGCCAGTTATGACAAGTATTTCCCCAGCATCCCTTGAGGCCATGTGAGACAGTTGTGACCAGGAGGGCTTAAGAAGGAGCCTTTTGTGGGGGCTTAGTCTGCTTCCTATTGCTATATCAGAGTACCACATACTAGGTAACTTATAAAGAAAAGAAGTTTATTTAGCCTGTGATTCTGGAGGCTGCAAAGTCCAAGCGCATGGCACCAGCGTCCGGTGAGGGCCTTCTTTCTGAGTCAAAACATGGTGGAGGGCATCACATGGCAAGAGGGAAAAATCCTGTGTGTGTGTTCAGGTCACTCTTCCTCTTCTTATAAAACCACTAGTCCCATGATGAGGGATGTTTGCTAAACAGACACCAGGCCCAGGCCCACTCACCCCACCCCAGGCTGAAAGTCCCAGCTGACTTTTCTGTTGGCATTGATTTGAGAGTCTCAGGTATGATCTGACCCCCAGAGAGGACCACTCCCAAACTCGGATAATCATCTAGCCCTGGCCAAAATTCAGGCCTCCCACCCACCCTGACACCAACAGCTACAGTTAGGATTCGATGTTATCAATCCTAATTACCTCCAAAAGGCCCCACCTCCAATCAACATATGAATTTGAGGATTAAGTTTCCAACACATGAAATCTGATGAACGTATTCAAACCATAGCACCTGAATAAAAAAGAAAAGAAAAGACAGACCTGGCTGTAACAAGCCCTTCCCCTGCCTCCCTCTACCTTAGACACAGATGTTATATCTGGAGCTATGGCAGCATAATGTGATTCTGAGGGACAAATGTGAGGGAAGAGGTCAAGGGAATTGGAGTCATTAGCAAGCCCTGTCATGAGTAAGCTGCTCCACCAAAGCTATCATCTGCTTATTCCGGACTTCCTAGAAGAAATAAGGAGATTAAACCACTGGATCATGTTTTCAGTTGCTTGCATCCAAAGGCATTTCTAACAGATACAACGATGACCTATCCCCAACAAGCAGAGACGCCCAAGTGGACCACTAGGTTGCATGTGTATCCTGACCCACGCACCTGTGATATACAATCACTTCCTGTTTCCCCTGGTATCATAATGTCCTCACCCCACAAAAGTGGCTCCAGCAAAATGAATGACAGAGAATGACAGCTATTTTAAAGCCAACGTCTTCAAGCCCTCAGTAGGGCTGAAGTGGAAAAGACAGTTTTGTGGCTGGGCAGTTATGACCATGGGCTCCGGAGTCAAGAGAACTCAGTTCATGTCTTATCTCTGTACTGCCATGCGCCAGCTGTGTGGCCTGGCCATGTCACTGAGCACCCCTCAGTTCCTGATTCAGGAGGTCTGGGGAGGGGCCTGAGAACAGGCATTTCTAACAGGCACCAGGCAGGGCTGCTGTTCTGGGACCTGCACTTTGAGAACCACTGGCCTAACGTCCTGCTCACGAGGCCGCAGGGCAGGCTGTGCCTGGTAGAAGGCAGTAAAGGGGGACAAGGAAGAGAAGGAAAAAAGGCAAAAATATTGGGGAATTCCAGCACAGAGTGTCCCAGCCTATACACTGGGGCCAGATATGAGTGTGCTCAGAAATTGATCCCTCATCCCTTGGCAGGCCTCTGAGATAGCTGTACAGGCTGTGCACTGAACAAGGGCACCCGCTTTAGCTTCAAGGGCAATGGGGCTGAAATCCCCAGACAGGATGCCTTTTCCTAACATGAAAAAAGACTCAGAATCTGAATGTTCTGCCCCTAAGGGGGTTTGTTTGGGAGGATGAGGGATGGGAAACTGGAGTATCAGTCCTGTGGCCTCTGGCCCCTAGCAGACTCAAGTATTTACCCCAGGATACCATCAAATATGGTCACTTCCTATGTGTGCTGTGACCTGAAAAACCTGGTGAAACCTTGCTCTAAGCTGCACTGTTCAATACTGCGGCACGAGAAACATGCAGCTGTTACAAATTGAGATGTCCCATACGTGTAAAATGCATACCAGGTTGCTAAAACTTAGAACAAAAATAAGAAGCACAATTATAATTTGTTTTATATTGATTACATTTAAGTATTAATCTTGTCAATATATTGAATATGCTGCTAAAATGATTTTCAACAGTTTCTTTTTACTTTTTTAATGTGGCCATTAGAAAATCTAAAATCACGTATGTGGCTGCATTGTCTGCATGCACCGTGCTGCCCTAGAAAGCTGACATCTTGCAGACTCGGTAAGCGGCTTGGTCTGTCTGCGCGGGTGGGGTCTGGGTGCATGTGTGAGTGTGCATGAGTGTGCACATGCGTGTGTGTAGCTGAGCTGCTGGAGGAGTGGCAGAGAGGACCCAAGAATAGGCCAAGTACTTGAACTTGATCCTGAAGGAGACAGAGAGTGATTCAGAAGTTATGGGAAGCAGATTGGCCCTATTAGATTGTTCAAATGACACCTAGAAGCAGAGCGGAGGAGGGACTGGAGGTGACATAAGGGAAGAAGATAGGTGGCATGGAGAGGGCATGCCCAGCTCAGGCCAGCCCTGTGGTCAAGAGTGCGGGCTCTGGAGCCAGACCGCTCAGTTCGAATCCCAGGCCTTCCACTGACTACCTGTGAGAGCTCCCGCAGTTACCTAACTCAAGCCTCAGTGTGTTCATCTGAAAAGTAGGGATCTGTGTCGATGTGCTGCTGCAGGTTGCAGGTTGCTAACTGTGTCCCCACATGGTGGGAAGAGGGTAAGACAGCTCTCTGGAGTCCCTTTTATAAGGGCACTAATCCCATTCACGAGGGCTCTGCCCTCATGACCCAATCACCTCCCAAAGGCCCCGCATCCAAAAACCATCACCTTAGGTGTTAGGATTTCAACATACGCATTTTGGGGGACACAAACACTGAGACCGTTGCACGAGACATAAATGTATTTACAGATGTCTAACGCAGTGTCGGACTGCCCTGCTGGGTGGGTCACATGCTCCTCTCCGACTTTGCCAGGAGGGTGTGGTCTCATGAGTGGATTAGCCTGGGTCTCGTGCCCGGCCCCCATGGACAGGCAGCTGGGGCTGTTATCCCAAGAAAGGCGAGAGGAGGGGAAGCGTGCCGGCCAACACAAACAGCAGTGCCCCTGTCTACGCCACCTTCCCAGCTCTGTGACCTTGGGCAAGTGACTCAATGGATCAGAAGCCCAGCTTACGCTTCTGTAAAACCTTCCTAGGGAAATGACGAAGGTTACACAATCCCTGCCCCACAGAAGGTGCCCAGCAAATGTCAATCCTTCCATAGGGCAAATAATGGAAGGCAACATGGCTGTCATTGGCACTGGAGACCTAACTTTTGGCCAGGGCTGGATGATTACCCGAGTTTGGGAGTTGTCCTCTCTGGGGGTCAGATCATGCCTCAGACTAAAATCAACTTCAACAGAAAAGTCAGCTGAGACTTTCAGCCGGGGGCCGGGTGAGAGGGCCCCAGCCTGGTGTCTGTTTAGCAAACATCCCCCAGCCATCCTCTTGGAAATCTTTCTTCACTCACCAGGCAGTTTTGGTCCAACCTGTTCTCCTTTTGTAGCTGGGATTTTGTAAGAGGCCAAATTCCAGGCTGGGGCAGGATAAACAAGAGCGCATGGCTAATGATTGGTGAGGCTGCCTGGAATGCAATTCGCTGCAGATTTCCGTGAAGGAGACTTCACCACCCCCTAGACTGTTTACAGGGAGGTTGTTAAAACAGGAAGGAGGTCCCAGGCTCTGCAGGACGGCTGCCTGGCATTTTTTTCCTCTCCCCTCTTTTAAGGAACAGGGACACCTGCTACTAACTGAGAATTCTCTGCCTCAAGTAAAATCGTCTAGGTCAAAGCTTTCCATTCATCTAACAGATTACAGTTTACAAAAGATTCTCAATTGTGCCACCCTCAGTTTTGCCGGTGGGGACATGGGAGCTAAGCGTGGGGAAGAAACTTACCAAGGACACGCAGCCAGGAAATGGCAGGGCCAGGATTAGAAAAATTTCCACAAAGCACACCAGGCAAAAACAGTGTTTGTTCCCAATACTCTGGACGCACAGCTAACCCTTCCCTCTGGGAGGGGATGGTACTTCACTGGAATAAAGTCTAGCCATAAAGGGAATGGGAGGGCCCCTCGTTCCACTGCAGGGGTATTATCCTGGTGGGGAAAGATTTTTCTTTCAACCCAGCTCAGAATCTTAGACATTTGCTTCCTTGACCTCACACTGTCCCGTCTCTGTTCAAACAGCTCCAGCCTCTCCAACTCCAGTGTCCACCCTGATTCTAAAGGGATGTCAAAGTAGACAGGTGGGTAAGAAGAGCTCTGAGTTCAGTTCCTAGCCTGGCCACAATCCTGAGGTCTCAGTGACCTTAGGCAAATCACTAATCATCTGTCTCTGGGCCTTAGTTTTCTTATCTGACAAAAGGGGGTGTAAAGTCTAGAGGAGCTCAGAGATTCCATCCATGCTTCTAAAACTTTGCTTGCAGCTCTGCAGGAGCTGGGGCTGGGTGCAACGCCTGGCCCCAACCCGCGCCCTGCTGCCCTGCCTTGCTGGCAACACCCACAGGTCTCCCCAGGCCTCCGCCACTGGCCCCGGTGCCCGCTCTGGTGAGCTCAGCGCAGCATTCGTGAGAACTGATGGCGGAGATAAAGATAGGCAGCTCAGCCCCCGCAGCCCTCCTCCCTCAAGGCAGCTGGGGACCAGCCTGGGGGAGGACCGGTTGCCATCCCAGAATGAACAGGCTTGGGGTGGGCAGGTTCCATTAGCTCATTCTCCTAATTGTTCTGGCTGGTCATTGTTTCTTCTGATTAATTCCCAATTAGCACTGGGGAGCACAGCTTGGGTTTGATTCTGCCAGTTTTTCAGAGCCAGTTCTCAGCTATTTCTGGCTTGGCCAGACCTAGGGCCTTTCTGCTTCCATGCTAGCTGCAATCCAGGAAGGGCCTTGGGGGCGCCTACACGTTGCCACCCTCATGACAGCGCTGTGAAATTGGCCTCATTGTCACCACTGCGCACACACAGAGACAGAGGCTCGGCGAGGTGAGGTGGCTTGCCCGGCTTCCCACAGCCAGTGAGTAATTGGTGTGCTGAACGTCGCCTTACAGACTCCCAAACATGTGTGCCTTGCAGTCAAGTAGTGGTCTTCATGTGCTTCCTGTATCACCGCTAAGTTATTGCCTTGCCATTGCAGAACTTGGATCATTTGGAAACAAATTATTAATTTAATAAAATAAATAAACAAACCCCAGGCCTTGTCTTTCCAATTGGAACCCCAGATTCTGTGATATTCGGGCAATTTCTAAGCCAGCCGGGGAATCTCCCAGTCATGTTAGGAATAAGCAAAGCCATTTGGGTTTTAATAACATGGTGAGAAAATGGTGTGACTTTAAAGTCTTTATTAGCCCTGGAATGCATTTTCCAAAGCAGGAATTAGCTGACACAGGCAGAGTGTCAGCTGGAAAAACAAGGTCTGGGTTAGGTGGCCCAGAAAAAAACCTGCTTTGGTGCCCAGAGCCTCCCATTGATTTCAATTGCTGGTTAGCAGAGGCCAGCAGAACAATTGTCCCATCGGTGAATGTGCCATTAGAAATGACCCCACACAGCTAATGGGGGTTTAATAGTGGCTTGCTTAGTCCTTGGTATGGTTCCTGTTGTCATTTTTAGTAAGAAAATTACCTGTCTGTCATTCCCTTTAAACTTGCACAGTAATAATTAGCCAGGCCCCAAAAAGAAGCTGGTTACCCTTAACCTTGACTAGATGAGAGCTCAGTGACCCATTAAAGTCTGTGAGATTATTTAACTCTGACTAACTAGGGAGGTAATGTTGTAGCAGATATTTGGTAGAAAATGGATATAATAACTCACATTTGTTCATCATTTCACAACTTTCAAAGCACAGGGTAGCCTTGAGGTCATAAGCAAGGACTCTCATTTGGGGTTCAGGAAACCATGGCCCATCAGCCAAATCTGGCCCACATCATATTTTTGTGATATTTGTTGGAGCATGGCCATGCCTGTTCATGTACATAATGTCTGTGGCTGCTTTCGTGCTACAACAGTAAAGTAGAATCACTGGGACAGAGACCATATGGCCTATAAAACCTAAAATACCGGCTCTCTGATCCTTACAGAAAAAGTTTGATGATCTCTGGTATATCACACAAAGGCCAAGTTTAAATCCTGCACCCACCACTTCCCAGCTACATGACCTTGAGAAAATTACTTTACCCCCATGCGCTGCTCCAGGTTTTTCATCTGCTAAGTAAAGCTAATAAGAGCGCCTATGTGACAGGTACTGTTAGAGCTCACCAACAACTTCTTCAGCCACACATGCTCTTTTAAACTTCGGCATGACTATGTGACTTGCCTTGAGCCAGGAAACATAAGGGGAGGTGAAGTGCATCACTTCTAAACAGAAGAACGGGTTCTCCATGCTATTTTCCTCACCATGTTGACCAAGGGGGTAGGCCATGTGCCTTGAACGTTGCAACTACAGGATAGTCAACTTGGGTTCCCAAGTGATCACAGTAAATAGAGATCCCCCAAACTCACAAAGGACATTGAGCATGAGTGGCAAATAAATCTTTGGTTTTTAACACATTGACTGCTGCTCAAATAAATCAGAAATTTTCCTTGGGGCCACAGTGTTTTATTACAAAAATAGAATAAAAACTCTGAGTGTAACTTAAAGGTAAACATAAATAGAAAAATGAAATGTATTGACTTCTATTCAGTTAATCCATGTTTTTAGAATTAAATTGTCAATATTAATTGTAACAATAAGAACAGCAACAAGTAAGATTTTATATATGCTTCATGCAGCCCTGGGGTCAAAACTAGAGTAAGTTAATTACAATTCTCATGGCAGTTAATGTGTTAAACCACTGAGATTTGAGCATTGTTACTTCAGCAAAGCCTAGCTCATGCTAACTAATTGGCCAACTTCATAAGGTTTTTGTTAGGATTGAATGAGTTAAGATTTTAAGATGTTTAAAATAATGGCTGGCACATAAGCACACAATGAATGCCAGTTGAAATTATTAATATCATTATGTCAATTATTATTAACAAAATGTATATTTTTATATATTATCTAATTTTCAATTTCACAATAACTGTGAGGTAGTGACTTATCTTCCTTTATTTATTGAATGGACATTTAATGAACACCTGTTTTATGTGGTTATGTGCTAGACTCTAGGATACAGACTTAAATAGGAGACACTTTCTTTCCATAGAAAGGAGGTCCATCTAACCCAGACTTAAGAGCAGAAGTGATATTAAACAAAGGCATCCCAGAGCTGAATCTTAGAAGTTAAGCAGGAGTTTACCAGATGAAGAAGGGAAGGAAGGGCATTCAAGACACAAGGAGTTAGCATATAAAATTATACAGAAACATGAAATTATATGTTCATTTTGGGGAACATTAAACAGATTGGTGTGATAGAGGGACAGGATTTTGGTTAGAAGATGTAGCAGACAATGTTGCTTGGCCACTTGACAGGCATTTGCAATCCACATCTCCCTCACCAGCCTTATACTACAAAAGAAAAGCAAGATATGTGCTCTACCCGGCTCCCTTACAGCTAGAATAGCCATGTGACACAGTCTCTTTGAAAAAGATGTCAGGAGAGATCTCTGGGGAAACTTCAGATTAAAAGAAAGAAGCACATGAAGAGAGCTCATCACCGTCACACATGGGTGTAATGCCTGGAGCCACGACAGCCGTCTTGCAACAATGAAGGGAAAGCCAAGAGACCTGGACAGACATGGACCCAATATCTGGATGTCAAGCCACTGCTGGAGCAACCCTGGAGTTGTATACCCCCAGTCTCCTCAATAAGTAAACAGCAGACATCCTTGTCATTTAAGCCACTGCTCATCTGTTATTTGCTTCATTAACATCTTACCTAATGGAGGAGTTGTGAGAAATGAGGACGAGGACGTTAGCAGGGCCTAGATCATGCAGGGCCCCTAAAGGTGATCAGGGCAAGTGAAGGATTTATGTAGGGAAAGGAGATTCGGGTTTAAAGAGGGTAAGTCACCACCCAGAACCCCACTGCTAATAGGTGTCAGAGCTGACATTTGCACAGAGATCTTCCAAGCCAACCAGGTCTCTTTCTACTGCTGTGTAGAGCATTTTGACTCCTCTACTGAAAGGTTCTAGCCAAATATCCACAGGAGGATTGTTTTGGCCCATGGGTCACTTCTAACCACATGCCAGAGAAGTTGAGATTTGGCCAAAGCTTCCTTCTAATTTGGAATCAGCTCCATGATCTTCATAAGCGAGAAGACGAGGTGTGTGGAGACGTGGGAGGTGAGAAGGTGAGGCATCTTAGGGCCAAACTGGACTGGAGGAAGAGACTTGCAACGACACAAGGCATGCAGGAAGTGAGAAACGGAAGGACGGTGCCAAGCCTTCCACCTCCTTGGTTTCGTTGGCTGAGAAGGAAGTGGCAAGCCAAGCATCCGCTCCGGCCTCTCCCGGGCTTGCGCCTGCGCGGCCGCGCTGCTCCAGCGGCCACCCAGGGCTGCTCCTTAGCTCGGTGCGTCTCTCGGGGTCCAGCCGGCTGTGTGGCACGGGACGGGCGCGCCGTCAGTGTGCGTCCCGTGTGCGCTGAAACGTGAGACAAAGTGGAACCGCAGTGAGCTCACCTCTGGGGTGGGCACCTCCTCAAAAGACAGGGTCACAGATCACCCCAATTTTTGCACCTCTACTTTCTTTTAAGCCAAACAGACCCACTCACACATCACTTCCTCCCCAAAAAGACATCAAAGAGCAGCTGACATTCAATCTAGTTTAGCAGCTCAGAGCGCTAGTTCTGAGAACCAAACCGCCTGGCTCTGCCCCTTCCTCGCTGTGCAATGGGGACGGAAAGTTCGCTGTCTCTGGGTCTCAGTCTTCTCATCTGTAGGACAGCCCCAACTCCGTGCGCTGTGCTGGTGACGGTGAAGCGAGTTACCCCATGGAAACGCTGGCACGCACCACGCACTCGGTAAGTGTTCTTCTTGTCGTGGCTCAGGGCCTGCCCCTCGCTCAGACGCCACTCGGCTCGTAGCACTCATCCTGCACCGGTCTCAGAAGGTCCTCGCCGGATTTGGAATGACGTTTCCTGCCCCCAGGAACCTGCAGCCCAGCATCCCCCCACCGACCCTGCCTTAGCCAGCGCCCCAGGCCCCAGGTAGGACCGGCCTGAGCCCACACTACGCCACCGCCCCAGCCTCCCACCACCCTCCCCGCTCCCTCACGGTGGGGGCTGAGGGAGGGCCGCGTGCCCGGCAGGCCTGTGCGCCTGGGCCTTGTTTGCGTGTTTCCACCTTCACGCTCCGGTTGCTGTCGCCTGACTCATCAGTTAGTTAACAAGCTCCAGAACCGTCCCTCCTCCTGCGCCACCTCATCCAACAGCCCATCTAGCTGGGGAGGCGTGGGCTCCGCGGGACGAGTCTGCGGGAGAAGGTGTCTGTAATCCTGGGCTTCTGTCCTCCCTTTCTCGAAAGGGCAATGGCATTGCGTGTGCGAGCGTGTATGTGTGTGTGTGTGTGTGCACGTGCAGAATTTTGCATTTCACAGAAAGAAATCACGGCCATCTGGCTGGCTGATCAAGAAGGTTATTATTGTTAACAATAATAGCAGCAGCTCACATTTACTGAGCACTTACTATAAGCCAGGCAGTCTGCTAAGCACTTCACGTGAAATGACTTGTAGAATGTTCACAATAACCTTGGGAAGGCAGATGTTTTTTAAATCACTGTTTTATAGACAAAGAGGCTGCAGCTTAGAGAATAACTTGCCCAAGACATGTAACTACTAGTAAGTGACAGTGACAGGATTTGACTCCAGCCTGTCTCACTCCAAAACTGTGCCCTTCCACTTTTTGGTACTTACAAATCACTGCGAGACCTTGTTAAAATGCACGTGCTGATTCAGCACCCCTTGGGGGGGGTGCCTAGGATTTCACATTTCTGAGAAGCTGTCATATGAGGTCGATGTTGCTGGTCTGGGCACACACTTGAAGTCACATAGATCTAAATCACACTATAGTTCCTCCTGACCTGTTAGGTTGACTGTAAGATGTTCAATTCAATTCTTTCTTGGAAGGAATTTCCTGCAATAGGGTCATAGAAAAGCTTTGCGGCTGGGAGTCTAGGGTTTGAATTCCAGCAGCTCTTTAGTTATCATGCCCCTAGGCAACTTCCACTCTTAGAAACTCAGTTTCCCCATCTGCAGGATGAG